TTTTGGTTTTGACATTGAAATTGAGTTGCTTCTTTAAGCTGAGATTTTTTTTCTCATAACAACATATTTCTTTCTCTTTGCATTTCTTGGGTTAAAGCATTTGCCAAAAAACTGTAGTCCGTTGTGAATATATTGGGCAGTATTTGCATAACGTAATATTAAGGATCTCCTAGCAAGGTTACATAAAATCACATGTTGAAATTGCCCATTTAATAATGTATTTGGTTTCCAAACCGAATTTTTCTTGCATTCATTTGAACTAGTAATATCTCTGTATTGACTGTTCAGTTTTAATTCTCACAGAATTATATGTTCCTCATTTTACCAATTTCTAGACAGGTTTTCCTCAAAATTTGGAACAAATATACAAGCAAACCTGATGGAAAATGATAGGATGGAATTCCTGTGTGGAAACACGATCGAGACATGCCATGTCTCTGTAACGTTTAGGAAGCTTTAAGCTGCAAGTAATAGGAAGACAAGCTCAAAATGGCCCAAATGACAAGGGGATCAATTATATCACATAACAAGCAGTCCCAAGCCATCTGGGGTTAGTTAATTCAGTATGTCAGTAACACCATCTTTAGCTCAGGTGCTTTCCCTCTTCCTACTTTGTCATCCTAAAAGGTATGTGGGCTCCCTCCTGGTCACAAGATTGATTCAGCTGTTTCAGCAACCAATTTTCACCCAGTAACATCCAGAGAAGAAAAGAGACTATTTTTTGTCAGTCATTGTTTGAATGAGTACAATAATCTTACCCAGAAGTCTCCCCCCAGTGACTTCCCCTCACCCTTCATTGGTTAGAACTAAGGAACATGCTCATTCTTAAACTAATCACAGCAAAGATTTATTTAGTACAATCTAGTCTAACCTGAGGATTGGAAGAAGGGAAAATAGCTGTTGGTCTGGCCAGGGATTCTCAAACTGTTTGGTCTCCTGACCTCTTAAAAATTACTGAAGAACTTTTGTGTATGTGGGCAATCGCTTAATATTTACTGTATCAGAAATTCAAATTCTGAAAATGTTTAAATAACTATGAATTCATTAAAATGCTAATAATAAACCCGTCATTTGTTACTATACTGTGTTAGGCAGGATGATGGCCCCTAATAATAGCCTGCATCCTAATCCTTAGAACATGTGAATATGTTGCATGTGATTAAGTTAAGGATTTTGAGATTGGTAGATTATCCTGGATTATTAGATGGACCCAGAGTCATCACAAGGGTAGTTATAAGTGAAAGTAGGGGGCTGTGTCAGTGTGATGTAGCGTGAGAAAGACACGTCTGGCTATTTTAGGCTTTAAAAATGGAAGGGACCATGAACCAAGGAATATGGGTGGTCCTAGAAGCTGGAAAAGAGAATGGATTCTCTCCTAGAGTCTCCAGAAAGGAAAGCAAGCCTGCAGATACCTTGATTTTAGCTCAGTGAGAACCATTTCAAACTTCTGACCTCCAAAATTATAAGATAATAAATTTGTGTTGTTTTAAGCTATTAAATGTATGGTAATTCGTTACAGCAGCAATAGGAAATACATACACATTTTTAAATGAAAAATAACTATGTTTTCCAAAACAACCATAAAAATGAATGAGAAAAATGGTATTTACACTTGGGGGCAAATCTGTTTAATGCCTGATATAAACACAAGATAAATGGATTTTTGTATCTACTTCTGTATTCAGTTGGTTGCATTACTGCATGTCATACTGTTTCTGGAAAATTCTACACTCATGAACGAACGTGAGTTAAAAAAGCAAATACTTTCTCAGTATTATAATAAAAATAGTTTAGATCTTATGGCCCCCCAAAAGGGTGTTGGGGACCCGCGGGGGGTCCAGACCATATTTTGAGGATCCCAGGTGCAGAAAGGCAAGAGTTTTGCTCCATTCCCCAAGAGAACAGTTATGGAACTTTTTCCATATTCCTAGAGTGAACCTCTCTGGGTCTAAGGTATGTCATCATCAATACAGTGTAATGATTTTAACTTTTTTTTTTAACATTTCTTCTTTAATCCAAACAATACTTCTAAGTTTATTTTGTGCTTGGCACTGTTTTATGGGCTGAGGCTATAGAAATGAACAAGGTGGATCCAGCCCTTGCCCCAGTGGAACCTACATTTAGTTGAAAAATAATAAGCACATAAACAAGACAACCTCATATTGCTAAGGGATAGAAAGAAAATGAGTATTCAGAGGAGTGAGGGGTATTTTGGGTGGTGGACAAAGAGCTACTTTAATTAGTCTTAAGAGGAGAAGTTAGAGCTGAGAGGTGACTAGTAAGATTAAGAATCATTGGAAAATGTGGGAGAAGATTCCAGATAGAACAGCGAGGGCAGAGAGCAAGAAGCTTGGCAAGATAAAGGAACAGAAAGAAAGCCAGTGTGACTTTAGTCCATGAGGGGGATGAAAAGTGGGAGAGAAAAAAAAAAACAAAACACAGTTGGAAGGGTCAGGCAGGTGTAGATCATTAATGTCTTGTAGGACACAAAAAGGACTTTAAGATTTTGTTCTAATGGCCATACAAACCCACTGGAGAAAATTAGACTACGGAATTCTCATATGCTTTGCTTGGGTAAATTCTTTCACCTTCTCCAAGGGCTGCTCTTCAGCATGTTCCCCATCTCTCTAATGATAACTCTCCAGAAAGGCACCGGACCCCAAACAGACACATCTTGCCTCACGTAAACTGTTTGTATGCTAACATCAAAAACAGACAGATCTGGAACCAATCAGGGGAATGTAAATTACAGGTTGCTTAATGTGGAATAACTTCTGCCTGTTGGCCAGTGTAGGTGCACAGCCAAAAATGTGCTGTGTGAATACAATTGTTTGGCAATTGCTGGTCTGTCACTTGTCCAAAGCAGTAAGTGTGTGAATGGATTTTTATGGGTAATGACTCTGAAATTAGCAACTAGTTTTTCTCATCTCTCCATGATACAGGAAAACACATTGGAACTTGGCTCATTTCTGGACAATTCTTGTGATGATCCTCAGTGGCTCAGAATGCACATTTGGTCATCATTATCCCTTGAGTAATCAGTTTCTACAAACTATAGGATGATGTTACAGTTATGTTTACAGAATAAGAGAATGTGCACCACACCTCAATCAAATAACTTAAAGATGAGCCTTCTTGATTAACATGCATTTATATGTATGGGTAGTTATTAGATATCTAGTCTATATTTTGATTTATACTGTAGTGAGAGAACTAATCTTCAGACTCCCTCTAGAAACCTCCAGATGAACTAAGTGCCTAGAACTCTAAGGTATTTACTGAATAATATCGAAGAACTGTTCACCAAACAAACCTTTCCACAATAAGACGATACAGAGAATTCACAAAAGCAGAAGTGAGTTGAAATCTGTTCTGAAAGGGCCTAGAAACGGTCAGGAATTTGGACCCAATCAGTACACAGAACTGCAGGTGCGGTGGCCCCACTGTTAAAAACTGGATCCACGTGAGTAATAAGCCTAATCACATTTTCAGAACAGCTGTGGCTACTTGGGCCGCATAGTCTCTCGTCAGTCGTAGCTCCCGAAAATTTTTAATTATTGCGAAAATTTATATTAAACCTAAGACCAGATTGTGCATCAAAGAAAATAAAACTACGTAATTCCAAGCGTGCGTATTTCCAAAGGAATTTGATTCTGACCTCTGAATGCAATTAAGCAGTCTCTCTCTCCCTTTACATCGGGGAAGAGAGAAAAGAAGGAGGCACGATGCTCTGTTCAGTAGTAACCGGTAACCAAACCTGTTGTTCTGCCAAGCAAGTGTTTGCCTTCACCGATTCTGATTTCCAAGTGCTCAGGGAGTATGCTCGAAACCTGTGCCTTCCTCCCCTGTCAGATGAGTAGAAAGTTTGTTCAGGCCATGATAAATCTGCACCACGCAGAGATGTTTTTGGCACAAAGCGTACTAGGAAGATGACGGTGATTAAATTCGCCTCCCCCCTCAATTCTTGCGGCCGGGGAGTTTAACAAATGTCCTTCAGCGGCAGACGTGTGCGCGCCGAGCCTACAGCCTGCGTTTTTGCATCTCTGGGGCAGGGCGATTTAGGCCGGCCCCGTGTCACCCACAGATGTGACTGGTTTTCGCCCCGCGGGCACCGGTGGAGGCGGCAGCCCCGTTCCTCTCCCCCAGCGTCTCCAGCCCGAGGCCCAGACCCAAGGGAAGGGGAAGGAAGCCCTCGCCGCAAGCCGGCGTCTGGGCCGGCAGAAAACACGTCGCCACCAAAAAAAGTTTTTTCCCCCAGCCGTGCGCAACTTTTCGTCTTTTCGCTCAGCACGTTCTCGTCTCGAGTTTCTGGCCCCTGGGGTTTCCTCCGCTTCCCTTGCCTTCACCCCGGCGGCGCGCAGGGACCAGGGCTGATCAGGCACGGGGCAGCGAGGCGGGCAAGGAGGGGAGGGGAAGGGGAAAGGAGGAGGGGGCGGCGGCGGCGGCGGCGGCTCTGGAGGAGGAACTGGTCAAAGAGGACCGAGACCGGCGAGTGCCCGAAAAGGAAAGCGACGCCGCTGTTTGCTGCAGTCGGAATAAAGTTCGCGCCCTTTCCTCGGCGTTTCGCAGCCTCCCCTCCTCTCCCACCAACTCCTTTTTGACAGCTGGCGCTAGCGGCCACCTCCACCTCCACGCCCGCACCCCCCGGGGGGCGCCAAAGTTGTTTTTCCATGCCCAGAAGAGCAGGAAAAAAAAAGTAACAGGGCGCGGGGGTCGGGGAGGAGGGAGAAATATACATCCTCCACGAACCACCTAGAAATCTGAGGACAAACAACCAAACTAACCTACTTTTATTTTGCAAAAGGTAAGCAACATTGTAGTAACGACAATTTTGCAGAGAGGAGAAACTTGTGGGGCTTGCAAATCTGTCCGAGGTCACCTCACCCGCCGGCCACCCTCCCCTCCACTCAACACCACCCCCCAACCCCAGCAGCCCCCTCCCGGGACAATCCGTTCTATTTTTTTTTTTTTTTTTTTTTTGCCCCGAGGAGCCGAGGGAACTCAGCAGGCTCCGACTTGGGGAGCGAGGGCGACCCTGGGCGCGGGTGTAAATCAGTCACCTGAGCGCAGAGGGGCCGCGGCGAGGGCGCGCGCGGGCGGGCGGGGAGAGGCGGAGGCGGCGAGAGCGGCGGCCCGGAGGAAATCGGGAGGGGGAGGGAAAGAAAGGCCGAGACAGAAGGAGCGAGAGGCAGCGGAGGGGCTGGTCCAGGCGCGGCCGCTAAGAGGAGACCAAGAGGCGGGGGCTGCACTTGACAACCAGCATGCCGAGATGGTAAGAAGTTTCCACCCTCCCTTCCTTTTTATTCTAGACTTCGAAAGAAAGGAGCCCCGCGCCCGCGCGCCTCCGGGGCCGCCTGGGGGCCGTGTTTTCCTCCAAGTCCAGCGGCGGGAAGTGAAGGGGGGCTCTGGGGAGGGCAGGCAGGAGAGGAGAGCCCCAGTCAACCCTGGCCCTAGCCGCGCTCCCGAAATCGCCCCTCAACTTGGCCCGAGTGGCGAAGGAGAGCTCCAGGTGGGAGGGCGGGTGTGCGTGCAGGCGAAGGGGGCTGGGGAATGTCGACCCTCTCGCGGCTGGCGGGGCAAGGTGAGCGGGCAGCTCTAGGGAGTTGAGACGGGCCGGGAGGAAGGCGGGGGCAGATGGAGCGCTGGAAGGAGCTCGGGACAGGGAGGAACGCGGTTTGGACCCAAGGTTAACTTTTAAAACTTGCCCGCGAGTGCCGGACCGGCGGCTGGGCGTGGGCTCCTGGGCGCGCTTGTGCGCCGCTCCGGGAGAACACCGCCGCCTCGTCCTCAGCACCTCTGCTTTTCCCCTCTCCTCACCCTCCGGTTCGGGAACCCTCCCTTTGTAAGTGAAGAAAATGTAGGAAGTGCTCCTGGAGGTTTTCTGAAGAATGTGCAAAACCCAGGGCAGGAAAATCAACCCTAAAGAGAGAGAGGAAGAGATCTTGAGGTGCAATTCGACAGGAGCCGATTTGTGTTACTTACATATTGACTGCAGGGTGGCATTTGGGGCCCGGGGAGGGGGCAGAATTAAAAACAAACAAAAAAAGCCTTAGTGAAATTCCCTGTAAAGTGAGGCTGATACTAAAAAAAAAAAAAAAAAAAAGTTCCAAGTGCAAGTGATGGAGGAGATGGGAAGGCGTTGCGAAGCGAGATTCCAGTACAGCCCTTCTGCCCGAAGCGGCTTCTCTGCAGCGAGGCAACGGGCAATTAGTTCGCTTGGTGCTGAGCGCTCTGTCCGCTTTCGGGAAACTGATTTGTTGGAAATCAGGCTGGACCAATCCCTTCTTTTTAGTTTGCTTCCACCCTTTGCTGCTATTGTTACCTCCACTTGGGGATCTGATGTATTGTGTTCCGCATGTAGATGGACTATGTAAGAAAAAGGGAGATAGCGGGTTGGCATTTTTTTCCCCTCTTCCCTTCCCCCTAATGTGACACGTCTTGTTTCAGTGATCAAAGTCACGACTGGAGTGTAGGAGATGTGACTGTCAAATGCAGGCACACACACACACAAAAAGTAGCGTGAGCCCAAGACTGTGGTTACAGTAATGCTGACAGAAATTAAAGTGGTTTTGAAAGCAGCGTGCGATTTATGGTGCTTCCTATTTACCCCAGAGTCAAGCTGTTGTAAAACTGATGTACAAAAGACATCGTAAAATAATCCTGTGTACCCAGGATTAAAGTGGCAGAAAGTGGCCTGTTTTATTATTTTTTATGTACTTCGTGGACAGTTGCAATGGTTAGAACCTGTGTTTAAGTGGAGGCGTCGAAACAAAATATTAAATCTATTTGTTTAGCACTTGAGAGTTTTTCTTCTCATGGCGTTTTACACAAGAACACTGTAGAAAGCCAGTTGTAGGTGTTAATTTTCTGCCTTTTCCCCCTAGCCTATGTACTATTTGTCTACACATCTATTCCCAAATACTAATCACTTTGAACAGTAGCTAAGCACTCTTGTCATCCACTGCTTTGTATTCTGCAATTTCGAATGTTACTATGCACATACATACATTATTTAAATGGTGGAATTTATTTCTGGCCCTATTATTTAGTATGTCTGATCTGAGGACGTATTCGAAAGTAGCAAGACCCTGGGCAAGTTAACAGAACTTCCTTTACCCTTTGGAATCACCCAAAAAATCCCTTGTCAACTTTTATAGGGTGTCTGTGTTTTATGCTAGATTTGTAGCTGTTTTATTTAAACTGTTCTGCCTTAATGAAGTTCTTAATTGTAGCTACTCTTTGTGTTCCCGGAGAGCAGTGTATTTAAAATCCAGATTGCTAATCACTTTACCAAAGTACAGGAGTATCTTCACCTGAGGGAAGTAATACTGAGCCTGAATGTGAACTCCGCTTGATTATCTCACGAGAAAAGTCTGAGAAAAGTCTGCAACCATCTCTCCCCCCACCCCCTGCCTTGAGGATATTAAGTTCGCCGTTGTTTGCCTGTAAAACTTGGAGAAAGAACCATCCTCACGTGATTTTAAAAAACAAATAGGAAGGAAATATTAATAGCAGCCGTACATGCCCAATACCTGACTTTTTTCCATCGACCTCAAATGTTAGATATCTGTCAACCAGGGAGGGCTATGTGATTACAAAAAGCTGCAGACAAAAGCAGAGCTGACTATTGCTGTATTAAAATGTAAGTGTTACAGTTTGAATTTTCAAGTGAGAGTTTTTGAGTTCAGTGCTTTACATAACATTTTGTCCTAATCTTGCTTGCTGTCAGGGATGTTTCATGGTTGTGCAATTGCTGCAGTCAAGAATGCCAATTTGCATTCCAGGAGTGTCATTTGATTACTTTTATCTGCACAGCTCCAAGACCGGCCCAGACCTCTCGTTTCATCTTGCCATGTCACGAGTCAATGCTGTGTCGTCTTTTCAAAAATCTGCCTGATTTAGACAAGAAAGAAAAGTACTTTCATGTTGCAGCCGCAGTCCCCTGCTAACTTGTCAGCAGCAGGATATGATTCACTTGGGCCCAGAAGAATGGAACAGAGAGGCGGGTTAGGCGGTTCAATAAAGCCCACGGACAGGTAGTGTGTGACATCCCCAGAGAGCCGCAGTTAATGAAGAACAGGTCTGCTTAGTTCTCCACACGCTGACCTGGTGCTGTCCCCACAGTTTTCTCATTTGATCTTTCCCAGCAAATTGATCTTTTCTTGTATTTTTTTGCCTTCCAAGTTAGTCCTTGTGGGACTGAAATTAGCAGAGCAACTTAAGTTGGATAATACAGCTGTTCAGAAAAGAAGAAATTGGACACTGGCTCAAAAAGGGATGGGGGTTGGGAGCAGGGGGGAGCTGTTCTTTTTGTTGTTGCTGGGAATATTTCTTCTATTAAGGGAGTCCGGAATAGGTAATGACTTGAAGGTAGGGGTTTCCTTTATTTTGAATTTTGGAGTTAAGATTCCACATAATTTTAAATATTCCCTGAGTATTTGTAAGATGGTCTTAATGAGTTTGAGGATTTTGATTTAGCATTTTTCATATTCACTTGTTTGAAATGATTGGCCAGTTGACTGTCTTTTATGGCTGTTGTAAGGTAGACTAAATATCAATGGCATACTTGGACTGTATTATTTATAGTGTTCTAAATAATAACAATCCCAAAATATTCAATATTGAACAGCAGGAAAGGTTAAACAATAAAAGTTACTACCAGCATTGTGTATAAATATTATGGTACATGGACATGTTTTCTACAATTGACCATCAGCTTGTTTTACATAAACTCCACAGATAAACTGTTAATAATTTTTAAAAATTTTCGAAATCCTGAATTTAAATATAGGTTTTTAGTACCGAAACCAGATCACAAGTTTGAATTTCTGTAGATCCTCATGAATGTTATTGTTTTTTTGAGATTTTAAAACTAATTATAGTAAGATGGGTAAGTCTAAGTGGGAATGTATCCATAGTTTAAACAGGTTAAAGTTTCACTATAGAATTTTGAATGTAAAATATAGGTTGGAAGCAATTAATAAATTCTTAACTCCTTGCAGACGTAAGAAGCAGTGCTTTCAGAATTCCTCTGCAGCTGGTCTCATTTACCACCTACATCCTTACAAGAGACAGTTGAAAAACATTTCTTGTGGAAGGGAGGCAGCCTCCTCAGATCTTTCCTGTTGGATAGGAATTACATAGGATCATTGGGTCATTGGTTAGTAAACTCCTCTATGAAGAGCTAGAGGGAGCCTCATGATTTTATTAGATATACTTAAGCTTAAAAAAAAATCAGTCTAGCAATCAGAATGTTTCAGAAAAAGAGTAGACAATGAATCTTGGCTTAGTGTTCTGGCTTGGAGGTGCTATTGTAGTTTTTTTTTTCTTTTTTTAGCTTTGATAAAAGCAGCAGAACTTTATATAAGAACAGTCAAGTGGTCAGCTGAAATTTCTAGGGTTCCACCTTTCAGATGATCTGAAGATCAAGCAAAATGCAACCAAATACATTTTAAATGTTTTGGTTTGCTTAGTACTATTGGTAGTTTTATCAACTGATGGAGTTCTGTTAAAGAGGCCAATGTTCCAAGTTCTGTTAAAAGTGACTTCCTACCCAATCACTGAGGAGGGAGATACCTTTCAGTTCACTCAGGACAACTTCCATTCTTTTTAAGTAGTTCTACACGTAACTGCCATGCTCTGGAGAGAAAATGCCTTTAAAATAAATGCTTCATGATACAAGCATCAATAGTAAACTGTTTATGAAGCTGACATATTAGGGATCAATAAATTAGGTAAATGTAAAGAAAAAGAACTTAAGTGGTATTAAATTCCATATTTGTTTAATTTCACATTAGTTTATCAGACTTTCCACTAAAAATTGTGATATGTTTACTTTAAGGGTCATTGATCATATTGTTCTTTAATGTTTATCTCCTAGTTTTTAAGTGGCATTACTTTGGACAAACTTATTTACCATTTAAGTAAATAATATAATCCGGTGAGGTAAACCACTGAGATTTGTCTTTCTTAAAATCTACCCCACAGTAGCCCTCACTATGTTGCTAGCCAGTAAAAGTCTTTATTTGTAGCTTATTAGAACCCTCAGTACACTCAAGAGTTCAGCGATAATTTAATTTGGCTATTCAAAGAGGCTCCCTTGTTTTAAAACATGTTCTCAGTGTGCTTTTAGCATTTATTGTGAACCTGTATTCTAACTTGTACATGTGCACAGGAACAATTTTACAGATGTATCATTTTTTAATGTTTTACCATAGCAGAGTCATAACTTTTTTTCTTTACAAAAAATGTGTATCAAACAAGGTCAGTTTT